GGTGTGTCCCTGCCTGGGGGGATTAGTAGGGGCTGCCGTTCCCCTACAGCCCTTTCCGTGCTGCTGGACTGGTGCGATAGAAGAAGCTCCGGCTTGAGATGCAACACAACCCCAAGCGCGGGCAGACCTCGCCCAGCACTGCAGGACTAGTGGCTCTCTGCTCTGATGCTGAGCTGCCCAAAAGGGTTGTGTAATTTGTGGGGCCCAGAGGTTCCGCCTGCACCCCAAGGACCAGAGCCCCTCTTAGCCTGAACTGCGCATAGATTATCTTTATTACAGGACTGTTATGTTTGCACAGTTTAGTGATTTAATATCAGTTTAAAGCCTTCTCTGTGAGCAATGCTGTTTGAAGTCATGCTCTCTTTTCAGCCTCAGCTTGCCAAGACTGTAAAATGTTTATTGCTAATGATGGAAAAGCTTAAAGAAGCCAAGATAACTTTCCCAGGCTGGGTATTAAGACTGTTCGGATAAGTAAATAAGTGAAGAGTATTACATGGACTTCATTAAATATCAACCAACACCAACAGCCATTCATTTATAACACAACGGCAGGGCGCGGGAGCACCCAGGAGCAGAGCTGAGAAAGGTATGAATCGCATGTGATAGGAGAGATGAACATGAGAAGGGCTGAATTCCCCATGGGGCTCCAGGTCTGGCTCCCAAGGTCAGGCAACACAACTCCTGACTAAAGCTCCTGCAAATACTGTAGATTTGAAGCTGATGAAGTGGCAGAGCTGGTGCAGTTCATCTCTCGGCTGGGGAGGGTTGCATGCATGTGGTGCAGCATGTCCTTCTCCCTCCTGCAGCTATGGATAAGGACAAAACCCTCCAGCTAGGGGAGGACTGTCAGTGCCTGGATGTTTGTTTTCAGCTTTTACTTCCTTATAGACAGGTTCTGCCTTTACTGGTTTCTAGTCACAGGATGCCAACGGCAGGTAGAGCAATTTACAGAAACTCTTGCTACCGTTCCTGTGATTTCATGTGCCAGTACTTTAAAACTGCCCCTACAACTTGGCTTGGTACTTGAACCCCTCACTTCCATTCACCGCCCACCGCTCCCCCTGAGTTCAACATTCCCCACATAAGAAAAACTGAGGTAAGGTAGTTACTTCGTTTGGGAACCATCCCCAAATGATATTTCACTGCCAGTCCTTCTTCACTATGCAGTATTCTCACTTCTACTTTCCTTCCTTACTCTCTCTCATCTGCCTAAGGCTCTTGCTCTTATTTTAATATCCTTTTTCACATCTCTCTCAGTGTGATCGCTACCGATTCTCACTTGTTTCCTGCCCTTCTTGTCCCCTAAAACAGAGCTTCCTTCACACGTCACTCCTTTCAAACCTCCCTGCTTACTCCTAACACCCTGTTGCAGACCAGTCAGGTCTGGAACTGCTACCTCCCTGCTAAATTTTCCTCCCTTGTTTGAGGGGTGCAAATTCCAGCCAGATTTTGCAACCTGTAGCATAAATGCCTGTTTGCAGCTCCAGTATTTCCCAGCTGTTTGGTGTTTTGAAGCCTTTTCTCAGATCAGTCCCTGCCTCCCTGCTAATTTCAGCAATTAGCTGGATCAGGTGCACCCAGAAACCTCCTTCATCCCTTCAGCTGTGAGGCCACAGACCCATCCTCCCAACACACACCTTCTCCCTCCCTCCAAACTGTGTCTGCAGCTGCCGGCTTCAGGCTCTTACCTCTGCCCCGGGACTCCAGGTCCCACCTGGCTGCTTCTCCCACGCTCGTGCTGCAGGTCTCTGTGCCCAGGAGCTCTATGAATGGAAATGGGAGCAATGCAAGGTCTCTTCTCCTCCTGAGGTCCCTTCCAACCTCATTTATCCCACGATCTACTGGAAAGGGCATGGAGCAACATCACAAACAGGTCTAATTCACACAGATCCAAACTGGTCCCAGCTTAGGGCACCAGCTTGCCAGGTTGCACCCAACTCCGAGTTGGCTGGGCCCAAAGCAGGGCTGGACTGGAACATCAGCATGGGCTTGAATCAATGTACTCCCCTTCTCTGATATGTCTCTCTGCAGGTAAACACCTGTGGCACACTGAGTTTGTTTCCATGCTGGCATATCTCTTGCCAGGCACGGTGTCACTGAAACGTCTTCCACTTAGGAAGAATGAAACCTTGGAAGAGAAATAAATCGGAGCTGAATCTCAGGTGCTGCAGAAGGGCCTTGTTTTCCACTGCGGGCTCCTGGGATTCCTGCTCTTTGTCCAACTATCTTTGACTCCCTCTCCTGGCTGAAAACACAGGTTACAGCCAAGAGAAGAGAGCAGAGCCCACCGAGCTCACAGGGACCCTCCAGCCTGGGCTCAGTCCCCAGCAGGACGCTGAGCCCGTTTTGCAATCTAACTCTGCGTCCGTTATCAGTGGGGTTAAACGTGTCATTTTTCCCCCCTCCCCAGCACTCCCTGTTGAACCCTTTTTAACGAGGCAAGCCTGGGAGCAACCATCTTTTTTATTACAAATTCCATACAGAGAGGTCAGGCATCGCCAGCTGAACTCCTGTGGGATATAGCTTTCTGTCCTCTCAAAAAACAAACCAACCAAAAACCCCTAAAAATTCACCCTGTATTAGCACTTAGGCCCTCCGTTGGCATTTAAGTTCAGGCTACAGCCAGCACACCTCTCGGGCCCCGCTCCCACCCCGCCGCAGGCGCCAGCTGCGCTTGCCTGGACCCTGCTGTGCGGCTCCCTTAGCTCTGGCCAGGTAATTCCGCAACTGCTCCGGCTTTCGCCTCGCTGGGGAGCTCTGGCCGGCGGGGAGCGGCCCCGGGGCCCGCA